GAATCGTAATTCGCCGTGGATGGGCTTCGCGTGGGAGGTAGAATCAAAAATAGGCATAAATGTCAGCAGTTTCGTTGCCCATGTAAAAGCTGGTGCTCCACTCTTCAGGCTAACGCAAATTTAGAGGACGCCACGCCCATCGGCGCGCGCGGCGCTGCGGCAAACTACGATCCACTTGTCCGTCTTCCGTGACGCTCAATGGTTGACCTGACTAGGTCAACTTTGAAACCATACGAACCCCTAAATTAAAAAAAAGTACTGACTTAGTCCATTCAAGGGCAAAGTAGCTCGTGACTGAACGAACTCTAAACGTCGCACTCTCTTCACTATTTTTATTTTTTCGTTGTTCCTCGTCGTAGTTCGCCTTTGCTTGAATGTCCAATTGATTCCTCAATATCCGGGCTTTCTCAGGTATTACCTTTGCTGTCATAGTCACTTCACACGTACCTCTAATTGGACCGGGTCTGGTAAACGTGTGCTTGGCCAGCTCTGAAAATCTTCTGGCCTCTGTTTTGGCCCTTTGAATTTTTAGGCTTTTTTTCTAGTGGTTAGTCAAAGAACACCTTCTAATTCGTAGTTGTGCCCGCAGTAAACATGAATTGCAGTCACGGCATGTTCTCCAGAGTCTGGGGGCACAAGGGCTATGCCCCCAGACTTAGAGTGTAGACGTTCTTCGACTTAATAACATGTTGACTGACATATTTAACTATTCGGCAATCTTATGTATACCTATACCAATAGTGTTCTTTTATTTTGGAAGTATAAAACGTTTCAGGCATATCCATAAATTCCCTATCGACGGACCATGTCCTGCCATGCAGAGTGAAAATCGTGTGGATTCTAATCATCACCTGATATAATTGGCTTACGATCGTTCCGAACGCGAAAGGACTTTCTTTTAAGAAACAAGTACGTATTTGCGAGTATCTCGGGGTTTTCAGAGCTGCTTCAGGGGCGTTCATTCTTCGCGAGTTGAGCGGGCGTCGAGCGGGTGAGCTCCACCATTAGTCGTTGGACGCTGCAACGGCTATACCAATTATTTTCGTAATGGAAGATCTTATTCATATATCACTATATATTATATGATATTATTTATTATTTGTAACGGAGCTTTGGAAAGCTCTCACACCCTGTCTATCAGTTGTAACCCTTTTTTTTTTTTTTCGAGAAAAAGGTTGCGTTGCGATAGTGAAGAACTCGTTACTTGGCTTTGCGATGAAAACGAATACAGCCGGTGCCGCCGAGAGTAGCACAATGACTGACCGTAGAAAAAAAAAACGTGGCCTTGTATAGGGGTGAGTCGAGAGAAACACATTATTGAGAAATACAGTTGAGTGAGATATTCGATGGCGTTTAAATAACGCGGGAGCTGTATACTGGCACGATAATAAATGTATACGATGTTAAAACAGAATACTCGAATACAATTATACACATTATTTACAATATTGAAATGATGACTGAAGACATTACTATCTCGTAGGGGAAACCCTTACATTTTTCTTTGTAATTCCTGTCGCAAAACTATTGTCTGTTGGGCGAATTGTATTTGATTGAAGCCGTGCAAGTGGTGACCAATCGATTAAGCGAGGAGCCACATTCGTCTCTATCGTTCGACACGCGTGAACATTAACCAGCTCATAGTCATCGTCTGGCGCTGTATATCGACAGGGGGGGGACATTCTGCTTTCCATAGAACCCCGTTTGCCAATCCATTCTAGGTACATCTTTTCGGTTGAAAACGTTTTAAAGATCGCTCACGCGATGAAATCTATGATAGCTGCTTCCCAATTATGAAAACAGTAGCAAGGTGAAACAGTAGCTGATAAGTAATCTCCCAAAGAAGAAAACAGGCAAGAAGCGTCCTCCAGAACAACATAAACAAAATCGCTCCTCACAGTCACACCTCCCTGCGGTCTCTGTGCAACCCCTAGCTCACAAATCTCTCTATCACATCTCGCAGTAGTTGATATCATCCAGTGCAAAAAAAAGAATACAAAAAGAAAACAACAAAAACGCAGAGGAAAACTCTTGGAAGGAAAAAGGAATTTTATCAACGCGGTGTCTGAATTTGGGATTACGGTAGCGCACGTTTTGTGCGTCGAGGTTTTGCATCACGAAAATACGATCCGCTCGTGCTCTTTTTACGCGTTCACCTCGCGAAATGAGTTGAATTCGAATGTATATACCTGTAATGAGTAAACTGTAATAAAGGGGAGCAGAATTATCCATGGGCATTAGCAATGCCCGCCGCCCCAACTAAGAAACTAAGTGGCCTCCGTCGGAGGACATCTAGCAAGTAAGGCGGTCCAACTGAGCAGGTCTCTTTCTTTAGAACTAGAACTTACAGCGGCTGTAGTTCGCTTCTCGCTCGCTATGGGGACGAATAGAGTGGGACTGTCTCTAGCTTGGGGGCTGTACTACCTGCACAAGAGGTGGGGGGAGGGGCGGTTGGGGAAGGGGTGGGTGGGGGAGGATCGAGAAAGTTGAGGACTCGTAAGAACGGACCATGTACTTACTACTATGCGAGGCGTGGGGGCTGTCTTAGGATGGTGGCTAGACGATCTTGCTCCAGCTTCACAAGCGTTCATAAGTTTTACGAGAGTGGGATTTGTTAACCGGAACCAGGGAAGCAATTGTAATACAATATGCCCTCCCCCGTCGATAAACAGCGCCTCATCGTCTTTTCTAAATGACTACTGACCAATAGAACCTTTCAGTATTGTGAAAATAATGCAGAGGCCTGATTTTTCTGTGGGCTACTTTGAAGGTTTATTCGAAAAATGTCGCAGGTGTCTCATAGCGTTTGGTCGAGCAAGTTTGGGGAACGGCATGTGGGAGTTCACTTCATGCCGCTATACTTCAAAAGAACAAAAAGAGATTTTGCTCAAAAAGGTTGGGTATTTGATACGGGTGCTGTTCGACTTGTACTCAAAAGTAATGTGAATTTCCCATTGTACTATTTACAGGAGGCACTGGCACGTCCACTAATCCTTGGGGAGGACATGGACTGAAACTTCTGCAGCACTGCTGCGACTTTCTTCGCCCTCATACGCAGACAACGATTTTCTGAATTCGCAGTTCATCAGTCTAATGTGGAACCACTTATATGATCCACTGACCCTCGAACGACCAATATCTCTGGTGTACGGAAAGGAGAAGTATATGTGGACAGAAGCAGAACCTGTCATTGAAGTGCTGAAATCTTTGACAGAGGTTGAATTTAATTGGAATCAAGCTTTTTCGAGAAATTGGTAACTACTGTATTTAGGCTGCATGCTAACTGTCTGGCTGCTTGAAGGATGCTGAATGAATCGTGTTTTCTGATATAGTAAACAACGGTTTTCTAAAACACAACGGGAATTGCGAGGATTTACTGGGAAATCAACCAGTATCTTTGTAGGCCTTGGGTTTCCATTCGAAGGTTGGTACATACATCACTAAGAAGTTTCTTAGCCTAATTTATTGTTTTTGGTTCGTTATTCGTTGAACCCACCTCTCTTGATTGTGCCTAAATGCCTCTTTGTTCGCGAATATTTGTTATGTTTGAGGTCCGGCACCCACTGGAAGGCTGGTGGCTGGCATGGTGCCAGTATTCATCAATCCTAGTTGAGCCTGCGCAAGAATCGTTGAATTAGCTGCTTTCTTTCCGAGACAAGCCCACTTACGTGAGGCTAGCCCATCAGATTGCATTCATACTTCGTGAATGTGGAGAATCTGCAATTTTTTCGGGGGCTTTAAAATGTTCGCGATTCGGGAGCATTTGGATTTGCTTCGTGAGCGATCGTCCCATCTGTATTTTGTGCGCTGATTTCAACACAACTCCGCGCATCGCAGCTTGAATCACAAATCTGTAGCTCGACGCAAAAACTTCCCTCCGCCGTTGGTTTCCGGAATTTGTGGACTCTTCACATTCGCTAACACGGTCTTATGATTATAGTTCATAGTCGAAGCACCCATTGACCATACGCTGGTATTTGTGGACAAAATCGGCGCTGCTCGGCTTGAGAGGGAAGGGGATAGTGTGCGTTTTGCTCTTTCGCTGGTTGCTTTTGCTAGTTCCTTCCGGCGGAACGTTATCGCAGTTGGCCAAATTTACATAGAGTTCGCAAGTCTGCCGCGTGAGGCATCGACCCATGATCGATGAACCAAGAAAAAGTGCCCGCTTCAAGCACTGCGCTTAAAATTGGTTACTGTTGAAGCTAGCTGCATGGGCTTTTGTTCAGTTTACGTAGTCAGTGCTCCTATATGGAGTATCGGAGCGCCATATGTTTATACCGTCAACTACAATGACACCGACCAATTGCTATATGCTGTAAGGCAGGCATTAAAAGAGCAGGTCAGTCAATTTCGATGAGTAATGATTATTTGGAGATGTTTTATGCGAGTACCTGAGAGGCGTATCCTTTCGCCAGCGTTCAAACTTCGCGATGGTGCACCGCCAGCGCATTAGCGCTCCAATGCACGCACGTAGGCAGCCATAGACGGATATCGATCGGCGCCGGCCGCTGCTGCTTTGAGAGTGTATGAGAGAGTAGGACGGTACGCGTTGTCTGATCACATAGTCAGATACCCTCTTCTCCCATAGTCTCTCAGAGCGATAGCGGTTGGCCTCGGTCGATACCCGTTAGGGCCGCGGTCCCGTCTATGGCATTGGAGCGCAGTTGCCAGGGTAGCACGTTACAGCTGATCGACGCGCGTCATCGTGAACTATTAACGCTGCATTCCGTATGGAAGGTGGAAGTGAATGGGAAAAGTATCTCTTACGCCACGCGGAAAAGGTGGCAATGAAGCTAAACACGTGTAGTGAAGTGGTATTACTTAACGCTTACGCCCTTTGACCCGGAAAAACGGCCATGGCATACACGCTGCTCGTCTGAGCCTTCGAGATACCGCTCATTCTCACCACCGAATACTTTATTGTTGGAAGGTCTCACTCCAGCAGCGTCTACTATGTGGCCCTTTTGCGTATCAAATGGAGGAGGGGCATGAAGAACATCACGCTGTCCCAAGCCTCTACCTTTGTCGCCACGCACTATCTAGTGGCGTGAAGGTAGCGGTGCACTTCTGCGAGGGAGACGCAAGGCAATCGTAGTTGCCGCATCGTCGCGAGCGGCGCATCGTGCGGTGAAGCGCGGCAATGTGCATCGGTTTGTCGTGATACTCACAGGAATGAAGACGTTCGAAATTCATTTTTAAGCACCAGGGCAAGACAACAGCGGTGCTGGTGTGCGCGGCATTGTTTGCCACGCCCATCGCCGCAGGTTACGATTGTCTTGTCACGTACCACTTCTGCGGCCACAGAGTGTATATCGAAATGAACTGCCGCTTAGATAACCCTACAGTGTATCTTGAGTGTCGTTTTCGGGCCAAATTGTTTGCGCAGAAGTGTGCCGCAGGGGAATTCGATAGATGTAAAAGTGCATTGAAACGAGATATCCAGTGTTTTCTTTGTTGCAGCTGTTCCAATAATGTAGGACAGCTTCCCAATGTTAATTTGTACTTTTTTTGTAATGCCGCACCTGTCCAGCTCGACCTTTTCAGCCTCAGCCATTTGTACCAGAAGAATTTACTCCTCGAGGGATGCTCATCAGAGTGAACATGTTGATTCATCGCGATCTATGTGCGAGCGCATTGAAATGGCCTCCACATAGTGCACTTGAGGCATGTTTTTTTTTACTTTCAGTAATAATGGTTACTTTTGAAGACCTGTTTAAGCCCTATTTTCAGGTGAGGCGGAGCGATCCGGGAGAGTCATGCGAAATGGCGTGCAACTTTGCAGGCCTAGTGTGTGAGCCGTCATTTTTCCCACTAGTGAATTCTGTTCAATTCTTAACTAGGTAAGGAGTTTCTCCTTTTTTGAGCATTTGCTGTCATTATTTTTGATTTTAATTTCGGATCCAGAAGGCAAAACTCAAATACATTTTCTATCATGGGTTCAGTTTTTACAGTGTGTCTTTCGGTTTTTCTTCATATTGAAAAGGCCTTAGATGCGAATGACCCGATTAAAGAGTCAGGGGCGATTAACGGGTTACGCTTTGCTGGCTTTAAACGACAGGTCCGAAAACTCGTGCAGTGAAGCTGCCAAGGGGTTCTTACTCAGGAGGGTGTTCTCCGTGATTTTTTGGGGTTTTTTTTCCCGTGGAGAGTCACGAAGCGACTATAGGTTCGTAATTGAACGCCACTATCTGCAATGTGCAATCGGGTTTTCTTTGACTAGTACTTGTTTTAGCAGTGGCCGGTTGTTCGCCTGCTACTTTGGTCAACTCGAGTGAACCTCATGCTCCATACAACTGCATTCGACAAGCCAGTTCCTTAATGTTTAGCTGCGCAACTCGGCCACCGGCAGGTACTAGAGCTGTGAGAATTTGCCCATGTCGAGATCATATACCAGGGCAATCAGCTTTTTGTAGTATTTGTGTTTCATGAGTTGCCTTCAACTTCACGTTTTCTGATGTAGATTTAAAGCATTTTAGCTCACATTGAATTGGGTTTACGGTGTAGAGAGATTAATATTTTCTTTCAAATTAATTGCTTTAATAGTGATTTGGTTTAATTTTGTTTTATAGCTTTCGGTCATATTGTTAGTTTTCTTATTTTATCATTGTGTTTCTATCCCCAACTTGGCCCATTTCGTGTAAATCTCTCGCCTATCGGTTGTGCTCCCAGTTCTACCTCAAATTCTGTTCTTCCAGTTTTTTAAGGCTACCATTATTGGACTCGAAGTAGCTGGAGAAGCCAGACAGAATACAGTCTAAAGCGTTCAGACTTCGAGATGACGCGCGCCGACACGCTACCGTTGCAACCGCGCTCCAGTGCTAAGACAGGGACGCAGCCATAAACGGGTATCGATCGGCATCGGCCGCCGTCATTGTTTTTGTATGGGGGAATAGAAGGGTACGTGATGCCTGATCACGTAGTTGGCACCCTCACCCCCCGTTTCCCCCATATTCTCTCAAAGCAATAGTAATCGGCACAGATCGATACTATTTGCGTTCCTGTAGCATCGGAGTGCAGCTGCAACGATAGCGTGTCGACGCGCGTCATCGCGGAGTCCAAACGCTCTATGAGCTGAGGCTGGGAGAGGGGGATTTCGGTCGTGGTGAATGGATCAGAAAAAGAGGTTTCTCGTCCTGCGTTTTCGCTTCGCCATCTATCCTCCCCCAACTACCTCGCCCTCCAGTTCTCCTTCCTATGACATCTTCATCATGCTTCCAGATTATTATGTTCGAAAAACTTTTACATGTGCCAATAGTTTTACGGTTACATCTTCGTTCCACTGTGATTCACTTTTACATGCCCAAGTAGAGATGTTATACAAATTGTACAC